TAATATAAGACCAAGGCGACGGTCGGTCGTTCWACGGGGTGGCGGTAAACGTATTATTATTATAACATAATATTATACTATACTAAAGTATTTCGTCGATAAACCGATAAAAAATCACACCAGCGCTCTAGGTGCATCGATTACGTGACGGCGGTGATGGTATAAGTGTGCATTCGTTGTACACGTGGCGTGAGATAAATTTTTCGATGAAAACCAAAAATGAAAAAATACGAGGACCTTCGCCGATGAGAAAAAGCCGCTCTCTCTTCGCATTTCCGTGTCTCGTATCAGCATGGTAGGATGAGTTGTGTGTACAGTACACAGTAGTATTATAGGAGTAGGTATGCAGCCAGTATTAGGAGTAGTAATTGTCATCCGGCGGATAAAGATCGCACCGCTGTGTTGTTCCGTCGCCGTTTATAGCACTGTGTTATTATTTATTAAGACGATGGTCCCACGGTCGTCGCACGAGAAATTTCCCTTTCACACACATTTTAATTTAATATATAAATATATTATAATGTACTAAGTTTTTTTTTTTATAGGCAAACGAAAAAAATCCTATAATATACGTGCGTGTAATTTGTGTGGGTGTGTTAAAAAGAAAAAGTGATGATACTCTTTTCGAAAACGGCCGCACGCACGCATCCCATAATAATTTATTTAAACGTGAAGCGTATAATGTTTACGACGCACATAGCGTAGCATAACGAGATTGGTCCATGTGAGTAATTACTTATATAGAGTGAATGATATTATATAGTGTGTACAAGTATGAATTTACCTGTACATATATTAAATTATGTCAACACTTAAATGATTAACTTCGATTATTTAAGCACGATATGATTAGAGTAGATGTTGGTCAATAATTCTCAGTACAGGTGCGGTGACGATTCACGAATAATTAACGTATATGTATAGAAATAGAATATTTAAGAATAACAGTTTCAGTTATTTTGTTGTTATTCCAAAAAATATTGTTCGTTTAGGGAATTACTTACTTGCCATTACGTATAGATATACTATTATGAATTAACGTTACCTACATAACAGTATTTTCAAAAAGTTTAGGCTCATTTTAAATGATGTTTATACTACCTACTACTAACTTAAATTTAATCACACTACTATCTGCATGTGATATTTTTTACACGTCGGAATTGACTTTATTATTATAAGTTAATAAAATAATAAAATWAAAATAACATCTTACATAACTTGACTTCACATTATTATTTATTTTGTCAYTGATAATTATTTTAAGATAWATAACGATTTCCATTATATGGTAGTACAACACCTAATTCTGTGTTGACTTGAAGATTGAAGATATATAATATCTAAAAAGTACCTGGTCTGGTGGCACTGCTAAGTGCCAAACCCATAAACGCTACCTCCTACCTGCTGTTATTAATTATTATATCTAATTTACTTATATTATACTAATTATATTGTATAGATTGTAAATAAAATAATTTATAATAATAATAATAAAAAAAGGATGTGTAATTTTTTTAAGCAAATATTAGTAAAACCAATCCCATATATTAATATTATTAGTTATTACAAATWGTAAAATATCAAATAGGTTATTGTCAGAAACATATGAGGGCTGATCAAAATGTTTCGGGACTTAGGAACTTAGACTTAGTCTTTAAACTTGTAGGTTGAAGGACGGTCTCCATACTCATCAGAACTGTTTTTCATTTACAACGTTTTATCACTGAATTCGTATTAAACATAGTATACTCGATGGTGAGGTCACGAGGAAAGCCTAAACCTACTATATATAGCCTATATGTATAGGCATAACATTACAAATTATTCTGAATATTTTTTTTGAGAATTCTTTAAACTATGTTTTAAAACATAATAGTACATAATCTGTAGTAATAATATGCATTAGAATTTTATATATCAACATAATAGGGACATAGGGTCAAATATATATTATATATATATTTTAATATATGTACTACAGTTATAATCTTTGACAATCGTTAATTTGAAAAAAATTATACATAAAAAAAAATAGGTAAAGTCAGCCCAGAAATATTTTCTGAATGTGATGATTTATCAATTTATTGACCAATACATATTRTATAATGTATTTGTGTTTATATACCAATTTATACGCTTTCAAATAAGTATATGGACTGGTATGATTGTATTTTGTRCATTATTATGTAGGTGTCAATAATAAAAAAATGTATCGAGTCATTATATAGGATGTCTGCAGATGTTTTATATAGGCATTACATCTTGATGCGTTCTTATATAACTTGAAATAATGTTTCTTTACAGTTATGAAATGTAATTCTATTTAGTATTCACTATTTACTTTTCATTTTTGGATACATGCATAACACGTAATTTGATTAAATATATTTTCACTCAACATTGTATAATTTATCATTATAACAGCCAGTACCAACTATTAATAATTTTTGGAATAATAATAATCTATTTTTAATAATTAAAAGAACACAATAAAAGGGATTCGAATTAGACTATTTTTATGCTAAAATACCTACTTTAATTTAAATTACTTGTCTTGTATTTTTTAGATCTAACGAACGACTTAAATTAGAAATTGATCCTCATTTATATGCACAATTTTTGGATGTTTATCAAAATAAAATTTGACATTATAAATATATTTTTATATGGTCACCACAAGTCCTTAAATTACTCTTCTTTAGACGTATGAATGGAACAAAATGTTTGTGGTATCCGACATTTGTTTATTTTACTTTGGTAAACATGTAAAGAAAATATTTCTTGTATTTTATTTTCAAATTTATCAAAATTAGTAACAAATCTATTAGTTATTAAGTACATATTAAAAATAAGTTCAACATTTAAGGTTCCAATTGAGTATTTTAGATATTTTAGTTGCGTTATCTATTATTTGGAATTTTTCTTTTTAAACTAACTACCTATTTATGTTTTAATGCACAACATTTTCTTAAGTAACACAATAATTAGTCATCATTTTTATAAACATTTTGATCGTAAAGACTTGACATTTTCACTWAATATTTATTTTAGCATTTTAAATTGTTCATGATCTACACAATATTTCAGGTTATTTTGTGTTATTTATAAACATTTGAAATTTTCAACTGTTTTCAGTTTTTTTTTTTTAGTAAATAGTTTTAAAATGTTATATAAGATTCCTCATAATGTATTCTAATATTTCTAACAGCAATCGAAAAATATAAAAATAACTAAATAATCTCAATTTGTTTTCAATGATTTTTTTTTAACATTGTTATTAATATTTTTATTTATATAACTGAAAAAATGTTGAGTACCTATGTAAACATATTATATTATCTAATAATAATTATATATATATATATATATATATTTATATTATAGGATTGATACTTTTCAAAAATAATGTTTGTCTCATTCTTATGGATATTATACATTTTTTCAAACTTTCTTTTATTTAATTAAAACTTGTATATCAGATAAAGCTATCTAGTGTAAAAGCTTACACTATTTTTATGTAGGATATCACCTTACTCTCCATGTAGATAAATTAGATTTTATGTATATTGTGCTTCTATRTTCATTATAAGAGTGTAGGACACTAAGATTGTTGGAGTTTATCATTCCATGTWCATTTCGTGCTAACCTAATCATTATTTATCATATTCATGACGTATTCCATTGTTATTAGGGCAAAAGACACTTTTTCTGTGAATAAATTATATCTTATATTATTTACTCACTTTTTTTTTAATAAGATATACTTGACATATTTATCATATTAAATTTTATAATGATATATTATGTAAAATACTATTGCATTAATATCATGAATAATATTTTACATTACTCATATACTATATGTGAACATTATGGTTGAGGAATGTTATATAAATGAGATAAWTTTTTTTTAAATATTGGTCTTTTAAATTTTAAAATAAAAATAAACGTCAACTACATATTATTATGTCATACAACTATACAAGTTGTATGATACAATTTCACCTTATCTTAAACACTGAAAAATATTATACCAAGTATTAGATAATTAAATATATGAATTTAGTTATGCAATATTTAGATGAATTATTATCTGATTATCAATGCATTAAAATGCATTTATATTCTAAATATATTGTATGTTTAAGACGGCTCTTAGTGGCTATTGTTTAAGGGGCRAYATTTAGGCAATTTATAATCTCGTCATCGCCATCTATGATCGTTATATTAGTCGTAAACTCGTAAATGATTATTCGCTGGAATKAAGGTGGACGAGGCGATTACATTCTATACCACATGTAATCGTAGACATAACGTAACACGCTCGATAATTTATTTGTTTTTACGTGAATGTGCAACAATGAATAATGCCAATAAACTGATATATAAACATAATTCTAGAAGTTCAATTATAATTTTTTTTAAAGATTTGAATTCGTTAGCTTCTATTCAATGTTTTGTAGGAGATAGATTTTCGATATKTTGAAAAGTTTGTGTAAATGGTTCCAAACGAATTTAYATAATTTTTCAAAACGAACAGTAGGTACTTTAAAGAGTAAATAAGGCAAAGAAAGAAAAAATCTCCGATAATAATYTAACTGTTTATTTATGTTTCTATAATATAATTACGTCACTGCAGAAATATTAGATAAACGTCTACACAAATCGTATTTATAGTTAAATTTACTTAGTTGAGGGGTGTTTTGGTGTTTTAACACTTCCCTAAGAACGTATTTATGGAAAATAATATATTTTCTAAATCATTCAAATGTATGAAATATACCTACCTATGTCGTAATATTATGCGGTTCTTTTTTTCATTACTAACGGAATGTGTCAATGTGTTTGGAGGTGAACCTAATACAGGTTACTTATATTTAAATTGAAATATAAACCCTCTGAAAAAATGCAGGTCATGWGCCTATATAATTTATTATATATATAACAAAATAATTGCCTATATAATTTGTTTCATTCGTCTTTTTTTTTTTTTAAAGCAGCAACGTGACATCGTCAGAGGACCATCATCTGTGAACGTCGATGACGACGACTACTCTGTACAACAGCCGCCACACAAGCTTTCGGCTGTCCAACAGACGCACATACTCGACGACATCCGTCGGCACAACCAGGAACAGCAGTGGTGGACGGCACCGGAAACAGCGTCAACGGTACCGTCATCGACATCGAACGTCCCGATTGAGAACAGTGGCAACCAGCACCAAGATTCGGCGGCTGCGGTGGACCAACTACAGCAACTATTGCAGATCAACGGCGTGGCTGCAGACGATGATGATGCGGTCGCAGACAACCCGGAAGACGACCGTCACGGCAAACAGAGGTCCATCGGYGGTGCAGGTGGTGCAGGTGTTGGTTGGCAACCACAACCGTACAACAACAATCACAACATACATCAGCAACCATCTTTATCGCCTCCGGTGACGACAGTTTCATACGGGAACCAGCACAGCMACAATCAGAATCAACAAAAACAGCAGCAATACTATCCTACGACGTTGGTGGGACCTACCGTAGAACAACAAAACTACCACCACCAACATAACGTCCATCGTCCGCAGCAGCAGCAACAGCAGCAGCAGATCTTCGTGACTACGCCTCAGTCGTCCGTGGTTTCCACAACCTCCAACAATAATCTGCAGCGGCACATTCATCAGCAGTACATACCACTGCAGGGCACGCAACCTGTACAGCAACCACAACTGCAGTATTATCCCCAACCACAGCCACCGGCGCTACAGGTTCCAGTGGCCGTTAATATCGGAGACAGTGACAACGATGACCACAGAGGTGGTGGCGGGTTGGACGCGGACATCGAACAGCAGATCCGCCAGCAATTGACGGCTGTCGTGGGTGCCGGCGGTGGAAATTACACGATACTCACTTCGGCCGGCGGCGATGGCGATGCTAATCATCGGTTTACACAGCAGGTCATAGGATCAGAGTCCAACGACAACGTTCAGTACATGAAGATCGGTGTCGGTGGTTCCGGCACCGGATCATCACCGTCGCGGAATCGGTTACAGCAACAGCAACCGACGGATGCGAGTACGGTTTTTGCGGGCGCAGCATCGCCCAGTGTCGGTAGTACCGCCAACACGGCCGACGGTAGCCGGAACACGATCTTCAAAACGGTTGTTATCCGGCAGAAGCCACAGCCCACGACTGCCACTCCTGTCGTCGCACCGCCAGCAGCCGCTGTTGTGAATGCACCTCCCTCGCAGCCCTGGACGGTCAGTGAACAGCAGCAACTAGAGCAGCTTGCCCGGCAAGTGCTGCCCCCGGGCGTCGCCCAGTATGAAATCATTCGCGCGGGTGGCGTCGACGGTAGTGCCGCTGCCAAGAGTGGCGGTGACGCAGCGTCTGCGGCCACAGTCGACAACACTGCGGCGTTTGCGGCCAGTGGCACAGATCAACAGACGGTTCCGGCTGGTGGCAAAAAAAAACCGGTGACGTTCGTCATTCTGGAGGAACGACCGGACGGCACCGTGCGGGTACGCGGTATCGAGAAAAAGCAACACGGAGGCGCTCCGTCCGGAGGCAGCGACGTGGCGGGTACGTCTTCGGTGGCCGATGACGAACAGCTCCAGCAGCTGGTGGACAAGCTGAACCGGGGTGAACTCCGGTTGCCATCGGGTGGCTCAACAACGACGCTGTCCAAGACTGGCGTATCGGACAGCGCTGCGGTTGCCAGCACCTCGACTCCGCCGTTCCCGTCTACCGTACTGCCACAGTTAACGTCACCAGCTGGTGGTATTGGCGTCAGCACAAACAAGCGCCGTGAACCACTRCAACCGTCGTACTTTCCTACTAAGGCGCCGCAAACAACCACCACCGCACTACATCAGCATCAACACCAAAACTTTTTCCTCCCTACTGCCGTACCGACCGAGGCGGTAGCCGTCGCAACTACTACCGGACAACAACAGCAGAACAAGTACAACCATCACCTCCACCAACAGCAACAGCAACAGAAACAACAACAGCAACAGTTCTATACACAACCAACAATTACAACGTCAGCGTCTTATACGACACCTTTGGTAAACTCAACTTTGCCATACTTCAACAACAACAACAACAAAGCCGTGAAAGAAGGCATATTTAGTGGTGCTCTTCGACGTCGTGGATATTACGCCATGGCTAAATACATGCGACAAGCTGGTGTAGACGCTGTGCTCGAAGAAACTGGTATTTTAACTTTGACTTTTGGAGTAATACTTAAGTAACTTAAAAAAAACAAACTAGTTACACCATTAAAGTAACACGTGCATTCGAAACTTAAATATTTATTTGTATACCTACAGTTCTAAAAAAGAATTTATCCTTACTTCTAASTGTATACTCAAAAGTAGTTATGAAACTGCCCCCTTATCATGTTTTTCTCATGCCATGATTTAACAGGAGATGCTATAGTTGCATAATTTTTATATTTTTACATCAATTATAGGACCGTTTACTGTATTCGTACCAACAGACAAGGCATTCAGAGCACTATTAGTGCAACTGGGCGGCCCCGATCGTGCCGAGGACAAGTTCCGGGAAAACCCACGTTTGCTGATCGGGGTAATTAYATTTATAATACTATTATCGATGTGATAAACTAATAATACCAATCACTATTTGGTAATGTAATGATAAAATTATTGATCTTGTTTTAATAATTGCAATTTGTTTTACAAAAGCTTTTATTGCATCATGTCGTGCCTGGAGCGTTCAGGGCGTCTGATTTGATGGCAGGAGACGAAATGACTGGTGTTAGTTTAGCGGGCACACAACTTCGTGCAAATTTATACGCACGACAGCTTTACGACAATCGATGGAACGACATAGAAGTGAATATACYTATACTATAAAATATTAATAACTTGAATCCTCTCAATAACTGTCTGTTTAAAAAAAATTCAATATGAATGGTATAAATGTACCTACCTACGTGCGAACATTAGATTAGGTAACAAGCGTGAGAACGTTTTTTTCTTGATAAAAGTATGTAATTTKTAGCATCATAGCAGTTGATCTATTCTATTTATTGAAAAGACTTCTGATTGTGTATTTTTGCACCTGATTACCCTTCGAGGATGTCACTTAATAAATAAATTTTGAATAATACTATTAAAGAAAAAGTGGAGACAATATTTATAAGTATTAAGTTAAGTTTGATGATTAAAATCTGTTTTTTAGACTTAATCGAATAATACAATAACAATATAACATGTTATGATGGGTAAGAAATGGGTAAACGAAAAAAAGTCCCCGGAATAAACGTCGCCAGAAAAAAGAACCTGTTAATAAAATCAAATAAAAACATAGTTGTATCTACGTCAACGGTTAATTATTTTTTATTGAAACTAATTATTCAAGTAATTAGTAATTATTACTTTTACACAAGTTTTGCTCATTAAGCCATTAAGGCCCAAAAAATTATGTTATGATGGTATTCAACTACGTTCAATTACGATATAAATAATATTTTTACTTTATCTAATAGGTACCTGGTAGTTATGGGTAACTGCGAAAAAATCATTACTTACCAATAACGTGTGTGAAGGATAGTACACGAAATACGAATCATATCATTTAGTCAATCTTGATTTTTTAAATGACTATCTATTTATAATAAATATCTATCTATCTTTAAATATATAATTATTAATAGATTAATAACCGATTAATACGGTACGAGTTAAAAGTTTCTGATAAAATTATTGGTATATTATAAAAATGCATTTAAAAAAAATAAATTTAAAATTTTTTAACACAGTATGTGTCACGACTATAGATGATCGAATACTACATAAATTGAATTATTTTAAAATATTGTTACATGTCAATCTTATATTTTCTCCCAATGATAATTTTTTAAAGAGWTGCATTTATAATGGTCATTATATATTAAAGAAAACTTAGAAAACTATGATTACTCGATAATTATTTCATTTATAGATAATACATAGTCGATAAAGTAGGGCTYGGCTAACGGCTCGTTTAAGTTTGGTAATAATACGTTGAAATAATAAATTTAAAAATGTCAGCAAAATTAATGTGACAACGCCGCATAAATTATTCTATGATAAATTGTGCTTTACCGCATTGTACGATAGTTTTTGACGATCTGGATACTCAATACCAAGCTAAGCTAAGCTAAGCTTTGCAGCTTGTAACTTTCGCCATTTTGAGAGTAACTTTTTACCATGTCGATGCAATTATATACCTAGTGAGAATATGTAAATCATTTTTAAGCGTAAATAAAAATAGTTTAGAAGTAGATTGTCATYATAACAAAAATCAGCGAGATAAATAAAATCGTGTGATTCGTGTATTGCTCTCATAACTTTACTATTATTCTTATAGAAAATTAAAACTGAATTTGGTTAATTTTCACAAAATTTTAACACGTCATACATTTTTCAAATATTTTTATGTTTCCAGTTCTATTTAATTGGATTATTCATAAATATTACTTTAAAAAAATCGCATTTAATATATTGGTTTTCCACAGATACAGGGTGTCACACAGAGATCTGACAAATKAAATAACTTTTGTTCTAATCAATATTTTTAAAAAATTTCTTTTAAATATAATTCATAGACACTTGCGCTACATTTTTAGAATACATTTTTTATTTTTTAATACTGAAAATAAAAAACTTAAAAATTGATAAAATTTTTTTTCGAAATATTTAATATAGCCAATTTGTAAATCTGATTTTTAGAAAAATATGGTAAAAACATTTATTTAAGTCAAATGGCTGGTTTTTTCTAATTTTTTAAATATCAATATTTTCGCTAWGTAAATTACGATCTAGTTTATGTTAGAAACCTTGTAATTTCAAATAATAATAAAGTTTAAAAAAAATATTTTATATGAACATTTTTAAATAAGTGCATTTTAAAATCTAATTATTTTTTTTATTGTATTTATTTTAATAATATGTGATGTATAAACTATAAATTACTATAACTTACCTAACGAAAATATTGATATTTAAAAAAATTGTAAAAAATCAGCCATTCGACTTAAACAAGTGTTTTTACCATATAAATTTTTCTAAAAATCAAATTTACAAATTGGCTATATTGAATATTTCGAAAAAAAAATTTATCAATTTTTAAGTTTTTTATTTTCAGTATTAAAAAATAAAAAATGTATTATAAAAATGTAGCGCAAGTGACTATGGATTATATTTAAAAGACATTTTTAAAAAATATTGATTAGAACAAAAGTTATTTCATTTGTCAGATCTCTTTGGGACGCCCTGTATACTGTATGGATAATTAAGGACTTTTGGGACGTACTGTATATTATACGTTATAGATAGTATTCATAAAATGGAAAGCTCCTGGAACCATCTGTAATCGATGTCATTGTAATTGATTAGAGCTAGTCTTCTAATCATTATTTTACCAATTAATTTCAGGTACTCACCGTCAATGGTGCYCGAGTGTTAGACGACGTCAACCCAACGGCGTCTGCAGCAATTAACGATGGCTCTACTTCCGACGATGGTAGCGGCGGATCCACCCAACAGCGCAGGGACATGATATTGTCGTCAAGCGGAAACGCAGGAGGAAGCAATCAACAACAGATCATGGCTATAGGGCATGCAGTTGACCGCGTATTATTTCCATTGCCCGTCGGTGACATACTCGCTACCATGAGAGCTGACCGGCAGCGACGATACAACGTCTTTTTACGAGCCGTGGACGAGTACTGTTCACCTAACGTGCGATCGCTACTCACTGGTATTTTTTTTTTTATTGTTAGTTACCTAATGTAAAATATACTTTGGTAGATATAGCGTTTTTGAGGACACATTTGCGACTTAAAATGTAGGAAATAGTTTCCCGGGAAGTATATATTTTAACAATACCTTGAACAGATTACAGATATTATACCAACCTACCTAGTACATTTTTTTTCTAAATTTCGATTACAACTAAAATATGTTATAAAGGTTCAAGAACTTTGACGGTGTTTGCACCCGTAGACGAAGCGTTTCGGGTACGCCGTGGTTCGGGAAATTATAGCACAAGTAGCAGCAGTAGTTCAATAATTGATTGGATGCTTCATGAGGATACMAGTAGCCGATTCAAAAAACGAAATCGTCGACGAATAGCTGACCGTTTTGTGCTCAGCCACGTGGTGTTGGCAGGACCAGGGGATCCTCCCATGTACACAGCCGGATTGCGATTTTATCAGGTCAGGGACACTGCGTACCGGCTTCCGGAAGGTGATGATTCTACAGCTGCGGCAGAGGAGGAAGACGAAGGTGTAGCGGAAGACTTCAACGGTGCCGGAGACGATGGAAATTTAACGGTTTCGCCGAATGACGGTGAAAAATCACGTTACTATCAGTTGACCGTGTACAAGGATTCGGGTAAATTACATTAATTTTAATAGTTATATAATCACWCATTTGTACACCTAATACTACATTTTGAAAGTTACCATTGATAATAGTGTGTACCGAGTACCTACCTAATTAAAATTCAATATTAAGTTTAATTTGATGATCAAGCAATTTATGGACAAATAGTACAGATAATTCTGTATCATTATTTCAAAAAAATTGACCTCGTATTTTCTAATTTAAATCCAATTTCATATATTTTGATAAAATAATGAAATTAATTTGTTACGCTTAAAAACGAAACGTTTATTATTAATATTATTTTCCGGTAATGCACTATAGGATTTCGAATTTAATCGATGAATGTTAAGTAGTATTATCAATCTTTTTGATATYTATCGTTTTAAAGGGGGCTGCAACCAGTAAAAAAAAATGTGACTTTAATAAGCTAGACAAAACCGGAAGAATTTGGTTTGACAGATTTTAATTTTGTAAACGGATTATGATTAATCATCAAATTTAATAGAGAATGATCGAGGTGATTTTTAATATTATTTTTCAGCAGTGWTATCCAAAAATAAAAATATCGAAAAAATATGATATTTTCGTATTGATATTTTTCATTATGACACAAACAATAATTTAAATATTCAAAATCGCCTCGATCATTCCCTATTAAATTTGATGATTTATCATAATCCGTTTTCAAAATTAAAATCTGTCAAACCAACCATTCAGTTTTATCTAWCTTATTGGTCTAAAAGTCACTTTTTTCATTGGATAGAGCCCCTTCCAGCCCCCTTAAGGTTTATTTTATGCTAAGGAATTTAAATATATATAAAAACATTATAACAAACAAAATTAATGTTTACATTGGTCAAATCTACATTAGTTTTGACTTTTGAAAAATCCGGCTACAGCTCCCTTAATTATTATTATTATYATCTTTTTTAGGCAGGATACGGCTGAACGGTGGTGTCGCCCAGGTGTTGGTCCGCAACGTTCCGGCTACCAACGGGGTACTACATGGACTAGACACACCTCTAGTCTGACAACCACTTGAAGAAGTATATGGTGGACATGATAATTGATCWATGACAACGTCTGCAATGCTGTCACWGAACAGTTTTTATTTATTAATTATTATTATTTTATAATTTATGATAATATATATAAAGTTATTTACGTTTTCCGTTTTGTATACACAGTTGCAGTAGGCTTCCTACACACTATTACTGTAATTTTTTYCAAGTGTATTTCGTATTAAACACATTTTAATAATATTTGATATGAATTTAATATACACGCACTCATAACGTGACGAGTGTCAATAATATTATTAACTTCTGAGTACAAAATTTTATGTTTACCTACTGTTTGTTTTTATCCCGAACCAGTTAATTGTGTTCTCCTAGTAATTCATACTTATAATAGATATTTAAACTTATTATAGTTAAGCATTTTTGAAAATGCCTAATTTATAGAAATCATAGCCTAGTTATGTAACTCCCGAGGACGTAGGTACATTATGTTTATACATAGGTAGATAACATGATTTCATTCGTATCATGCTAGTGGTTTGTTAAATTGTTAACTCCACCAGACCTCTATACGTACGTAAAAAATTCTAATTAACTCCGCCATATTATATAAGTATTTGAACTAACTACCCATATTGATAATGTATGTGGTAAGACAACTTAAATCTAGTACTYATAGATTGGTGAGGCACGATATTACGACCTCAGGGGATCTACTAGTCTAGACAGCACGAATCCAGTATCGTGTAGAGATATTTAATGTTAAAATTTAAATTTCATATACAGTTACTATAATAGTGATCAAATATTAAGCTACTATATTTCTATTTTTTTAAATTAATCACTTATATTTGTACATAATTCAATATTTGTATGCAAATAACGCAATTCTACTAATATTGTAACTATAAACATGATGTAACATATAAGCCAATGTGTTTTTTTTAGTATTGGTGCATTATACTTTATAATGATTTGAAAAAAGTGAGCAGTTGCAAAGCGCCTGRCATAATATGTTAAACTTCAAAATTATTTTGTATAGAAAATATGCATGAATATTGAAAGGACGATGAACATGACATAATCAATAACAAAATATTCAAATTTTTTTAAGAAAAATTATTATTGATTTTAAAGGTACATTAAATGTTTGGTGCGCTTATAGTGCCGATCGCTGCATAAACAGCTGGTCTTATTCATAGCATTAAATTTTTCACATCAATAATTATAAAAGTAAGTAGAAGAAAAATTATATGTATATTTTAAAACAATGTAGGTGGAACTGTTCTTCCTCAATCCAAGCTTTGAATATGAACTAATTCTCCTGTAAARTGTAGTGTTACTAGTTAATTATCAAAGGAATAGTGATGAGCAAGGAACGAAGTTACTGTTAAACTACAATATATTATTTAACTATTTATTAATTCAAATAAAATTACACACGCAGACATAAAAAAAAATAATCACAAATCTATAAAACATGAAAAATACTACGATACACCAGAAATATTAGATATAGAATATAGAAAGATAGTACATGGATAGACTCATGGAGAAAAATATTTCATACATGTTTAGAAAAAACATATCAATTAATTAGGTACTATAAAGATATGGTTAATTAAGCCATTGATTCTATTGATAAATTACAAGCGATACATTATATAAATTTTACAATAACAAATTTTTAAGATATTTAAAAAAAAATCTTATTATAAATATTTGAGCTGTATGCTTTTACAAAATCATAAGATGATAATAAATAAGAATAGTATTATGAAATATGAATTACTAATTCTAATAAAAAAAAAACAAATAAAAATTTAGTAGTACAGGTAATATAATATGAAAAGTGAAATCAAAATGTAATAAAGACATTGGTTAAATARATAAACAGTTAGTAAATATAAAATACAATGTAATACATAACTCTGGTGTCAATTAAATAATGTTTACTAGTCACTTTCACAATAACCTARATTGAATAAAAYCTTTAATTGGTAATTTAATTGAAAACAATTATCTTTTAATTTTTAATTTTCCAGTTCAAAATCAAAATGTTCAAAACCAATAATAGTGAAAGTTCAGAAATGTATTTTTAGAATGTATTTATSTTGGTTAACATTTTTGTGCATATAGTATCTGTACCGATTGAAATAACTTATATTTTGTGAATAGAACATTGTTCTATACAATACACTCAAATATAACTATTTATGTATTACTATTATCRAAATGATATTAGTCAATAATTATTAAAAAATAAAAATATAATATTGAACTTTGAACTTTTAATACCAGGAGTAGTCAAAATAGTTGTTTCGTGTACTATAAAATAATAAAACAATTTATTTACGGAACGAGACTTGGATTGAGATCGAATTTCTGGAATTTTTTTTAATGTTATTAAATACTTAAAAGTTTTAGGTTCAGTAATATGATGAAAACAATGAATGAACGAAAATTTAATTGGTCCATATAATAATATAATCACTGAAATAACCAATTAATAATAATATTGGTTTAAATGCTAATGTTAGGTACCTACCATAAATAATAATTATTAAATTTTATAATATAAATAAATAAAAAAATGAAATAACTTAAAAGATTTAAATGCATGTGCACAGCGAATGTGTAAAATAATAGGTATATGAAAAAAAACCGTGCCCAGGCCAACGCGAGTAAGTTTGACATTTAATTCACAATGTTTTGCTTATGATTTAAGCCAGGGCGAAATCTTAGCCACAATTTTAAACTCTAGACTAAAAATATGATTAATATGTTAACCTAAAAATATTTAGCACACGGAAAATTTTTTATGCTGTATGAAGTATGACAAATAATAATAAAAATTAATTATCAGACGATTTGGAATTTATCATTCATGATATCCAAAAATAGTTTTTTTTCTTATCTAAATTTATTCAATAGTATTAAACATAATTTAAAGAAATTAATTATGATTAAACTGGCTGATGCGGCAAATTTTAGCGTTGGCAACAACGTTTTAATCCAATAGGTAATTATAATTTTAGACTTTATGATAATTCTACCATAGTAATAGTTATTCAATTTAATATGAATAAAGTAAAAATAAAATAAAATCTAAGCTAAAGGACTTACGCATGTGCTATACAATCGGTATGTACCTAGGTAACATAAATAAATGAAAAAACTTGCATCTTGGCACACGCGTATCCTATTTTACCATATTACCTATGCAGTGAACAAGCCAAAATGAAGTCTTGGCCATAATTTTAAATTCTAGACTCAAATAAGAGACATAGCTACTACCTAATTAAACACGGATAAACCTAATAACCTAATATGTAAATTAATATTATACTTATATTTATACTTAAACTATCGAGCGGGCWTGTACACGCGACTGTTGTAACATGAAGTGCCTAACTAACAACTAATCACATGTTCATAAAAAAAATAATAAAAATGAAAAAACAAAACCTCGACTCGAGTACTTAGGCTTAATTCATTTTTAGTCAGACTGTCCCACGAAATGTCGTTTTTTATCATACTATATAATATATATAATATTAACATATTTATATTAACCCACATAAATTTTACCAAATGTAAATTTAAAAAAAAAAACTTAAACTAAATAAATTACTAAATAAACTTAAAAACCTTATTTTAAATATCGTTAAGAAGACATCGAACCTGTTTGTGGTCCTTGTTTCACTAACACAATTTATTGATATAAACTGAAGCTAATATTATAATATTATCTTATATTTATACTAACCTATCGAGAAGGTACATACGTATATTATAATGTAAACACACTTTAATATTAAATATTATATATATTTATATTAATCAATATAAAAATATATATCTAATGTCGTCATATACTGCTCATCTTCATTAAAAAATAACAGTCTGTTGCCTCTTATATTTAAATGTACTACTAGTTAAATATTTATAATATAATTATAAAAAATATCCTTAAATAAACACGATTTAAAATAACTATTCATTATAGACTAACCTAACCTAACKTACACTTAGATATATCATAGAAAAATGAACGTACTAATAAAGTGCTATTAATTAAAAATCTATAAAATAATAATAACTATGAATTTTTATTACAATAAAAGAAAAATTGAATATAAAATAAAAAAATTTGAGAAATATGTTTCTTTTTTTTTATCAAATTGATAAATTTCTTTCTCCTTAAACTTTTATAATTTTCAAATTTGATTATTACTTTTTTAAATATTATGTTTAACCTGTCCTGATAATCCTAAGTCATATTAAATATTTAAAGATTCCCTTAAAACAATCGAAATATTCAAAGTGAAAAAGGATGGCTGTTCTAAACACCCTGTGATAGCATACAATGCTGTTTTTATTTGCCCACCGTCGTATTATCTTCATAAGCTACTTTAGCGAGAAACGCTGAATAGGAACAAGCTTTATCCAAAAAATCATCCATGGCTTTGTACCTGAGACGCATATCTTGAGCAGCTTGATCCAGATGTGCAGAAATCACATGATTCAAAGGCAATGCTTGAGACGCAGTGCTATTAGATTCGCTTTCATTTTGGTAAGCGGCTTCTGCCGCAACGTAAGTTGTACCTAACGCGTAGGCGGGTATCGCCAACTCAATGGTATCTTTGTCGTCATTAATGTCTTGAAGGAAAAGAGTTGGAGGCCAAAATAGGCAGACATGAAGCTCGGTACAGAATACGATGTTAAGAGGTGCGGGCCCTGGACTAAAAGCACACACATCTTCGACCCATCGATAGTATTGGTCATTTTCTTGATTTTGTTGAAGGCGATGGCATTTTTCATTTTTTGTAGTTGTTTTTTGTTGCATTTCTGTGGCCGTAGCTCCTACATGTGAGTCCGCGCACATTGTATCAATTCCAACTCTTCTACCCGCTGAAAGAGAACTTCTGTTATCGTAACAGATAACTGTAGCATCATCATCATCGTCATCACCACAGTCATCATAATCATACTCCTCCACACTGTCTTCATACTGGCGTTCGTATCCAAAGTCATTGTTTCGCTTGTAATTAATTTTCTTGTGGTAGTTGGTATTTCCATCTTTCTGGAAGTTTTTGTCTTTGTTAAAGCCTTCATCGCCGTCATCAWAAATATCAAAGCCACTTCCGCTGTATTGACGTAATAATGCATGGAAGTTACTTCGAAACCGGTCCAATTGTAACATTGGTGTTTTCGTTGATATAGAATCATCATTAACGTAACTCTGCTGCACCCATTCGGAGTACTGAATACACTGAACATGAAGAGCACTCAGTCCGTAGTCAGATGCAATCGATAACCCTAAACCACCACTTATTCCACTATTGAGAGATAACCACGGTGAAGGTGACAGGGACAATGGTGAAATAAAAAACGATGATATTCTAGTGTCTAATTCTTTCTTACTGCCAATATCACTKGAAACAGTGGTTGTAGTGTCAATGCTACTACCAGTGTTACAACYATCGACGTTATATAAATGTTCGTATAGTACAGCCAATGCTGTGGCATCAGGAACAGTCGCGTTTGGTGGAAGCTGTAGTAGCTCATTCATGTCGTTGTCATCGATTTCATTAATACCTGGTTTCCCCGAAACTGTCATTAAATTTTTTTCTCTGCGGCCCAGAAACTCAGGTCGAAGACGGGACTCAAACGCCACGGCCGTGGCAGTGTGTAACCGCCGAAGAGTTGCCCATGCATCTTGAAGTGATTGGATCTAAAATATAGWTACACAAAAATAATTAGTGGAGACTTTTTACTAAGATATTACATACTAAATCAATTTAAAATTTGAAATATTTTATAAATTGATATTGATGATTACCCTGTCAGAACATAGCGCAGACATTAGAGCCCGATAACCATACACATCTCCCACTGCCTGTTTGGTATCAGCTGCTGTACGAATCCACTTATCAAGGGCAGCTGCCCTATGTTTAGTCAGTAGATCCCACCAGTGACGTTTTTCAACAGCCCACTCTTCTCTTGGTGGCAATGAATATCCAGAGTCAAAATCTGAATTAGCTGTTAGTCTATAACTCTCTTCATCGTCATCTGAGGTAGAATAGTTATCGGAGACACACAAGCTACTGATACCAGCACATTGATAATAGAATCGCCGACGCCGGTATTCGTATTCATCTTCCAAACTCCATTCAAGATTTTCATCTACTAGATTTTCTTTGAAATTGATATCACTGCCAATTAGCATCAAACAAGGAGTCACTATTACCGTCATTGCGACGAGGTACTGTAGACAAGCAAATCTAAAAAATAAAATAAAGTTAGCACGCAGTCACTGTATTGTTTTCCCTAGTTAATACAGAATGTTTTCAATAAAAATAAATTAATAACTAATGTCAATATATTTTTTTTWAATAAAAATAAAAATAAATATTAAATGTTATTTTAAATATGTGAATATAGTTTTCATGTTCATAGATTATATTTATTATTCAAATAATAAGCTTACAACAATGAAAACTTTAGAGCGGTTTTTGAAATCCAGAAGTTTTGAKATAACAAAAATACTAACTTGTAAATACAACTAAAGATTGGTGAGTCGGTAACTATTACATTTAAAACATGGAACACCTTTTGGAATCCTGTAGAATTTTATAACCATTTATTTGCATACACAACTTCGAATATTACATTTTGTATTTAATTTTGAGGTGTTTTAAATAATAGATATTATTCAACGTTAGGCGAATATTATATTCAAGGTGGAAATTCATACTTCGAAAAACGCTTAGTTTATGTCCTGTGGGCTATATGTGATCTAAAACAATTTWAAAGTTTTTAAAAATTCAAATTCGACCATCCTAAGTCGTGATACATTTTTCCAATACTAGAAYATTTAAAGTTGACAAAGTCATTGATACACTATGCGCTGTGAGACTGATACAGACCGCGAGAGTCAACTATAGCACATCTACACTAATTTAAATTTATTTTGCAAGCGTAAAGGATACTAATTTACTCTTATAACCTTTCTTTGAACATTTAAAAAAAAAAACCACCACAAAAAAACAAAAGCTCTTAACAATATTATACCTTTCTATAACATCCAGACGAGCACGACGACCAGCAGCTCCTAGTTGACCTAAAAGTTGAAGTGGACATGTACTCAAAAGTGGYCCAACTTGTTTACTTTTAGTTACATTTCGTCGATATGGTAATACGGTGACCCGGCCATCTGCACGGCACAAGGCGGCAGCTAGTTTTCCCGTACCCACTGTTGCTCCATCCTTGTCATCAGGATTACCAATTATTGCCAGGTGGACGGCCCGTAAGGCAGCAGCAACTGCAGAATTACTTCCATTAAAGTCATAAATAAGTTGTTGCTGTTTTTCGTCATTATTTCGACTTATATTTTCGTAATTAAAATCATCGGTATCGTCAATGTTGTGAGAAAGTATATTTTCATAATCGGCAATTGGTTCGTTATTATCAACGAAATTGTTAGGGTTATTGTTGCTTTGTGGTTTGCTAACTTGATGTTTATATCCATGGTGTTGATTATTTTTGCGATGGGTTCCAAAATTGTTGGTGTTGAAATTTCGGGTATCACTTTTATTGAATGAGTTTTGATGGTTATCGAATTGAGAGTTGATATTTACATAATCGCAAGCCGGCTTACATCCAATACTGCCAACACCAACAGAACCTATTTCTTGGCTGGATGTACTAGTACTGGACTCGGCGGTCATTGAGGGAATAATTTTAGTGAGAGGGCAGTAAATATCACTAAATATTGCGGTTGTATTTGATTGGCCAGCTTTAGTCACAGGAGTGTCGTTACTCTCGTGGTTGAAGATGCTATGGCCAGTTTTTTCCAGATTCACTTGAGGACAGTTCATATTCATTTGCACTCGTAGTTGGGTTTCTCCAAGTTGAGTCACGTGTTCTCTAAGGGTCTTTTYAGCCGACGAAAAGTCGGTACACGCCGGCAAATGGTGTTTTTCCGAAACAGTCTTAGGTTTATTGTTCTGTTGTCGTTTCCGCCGAATATGTGGCATAAGTTCGATTACAGGTATTTGGATTCGGTGGTTTACTTCCGTAACTTTAGAGTTTCTACTTAAGTTAGACATTTTTTGTAAGCCAGCCCACTGCCTTATCATATTTTCAGCTAAGTAACTATTTGATGACCTAATAGAATTACGAGCTGCACGAATTTTAGCYGGGGCAACTGTGGCAGCTCGGTCAGTGCGATTAGTTAATTTTATTAGTTTGCTAGTTTYTATATCTGAGATGATTTTACGAGATTCCATTTTCATACTATCTGTCGTATGATCAACCTCCTGGTCTTCAATTAGCGTCTGATGCATTTGCCGTAAACGTCGTTGTCGTGGATCATAATCTCGTATCCCCGTGATTTGAGTTAGTTCTCGATGCTGCTGATCTAGATGTGGTTGTTTCAGCATATCAAMTAATCCTTGACGAATGGTGTTAGAACGGGTGCGGCATTTCTGAAAATTTTGATTTTCAGATGCTTTTGATGATTTTTCTACATTGGAATCTAGATCCGAAGATCTCTGCTTATCACTTTCTTTTCCATCTACATTTTCATCATCAATTGTATGCTCTCCTTCAACACTTTTTTGCCTTATCTCAACATTTTTTATTGGATTCTCAAYCTCTTGGATCTCCTCATTCTGAGTTTCTCTTTGACTATTTAATACCTGCTTTTCAACGAATTGGTACACATTTTGTTGTGGTTGCTCTACAGCGATTTTTACTTTTTGACGATCGGTTAACTGTCTACATCTATTATGCTCTATCTCTTCATCCTTTAACGTAGATGTTGAAATGGAAGAAGAATCGGACGACGAGGATCTCTGTTCCCCTTTTTTATCAACGCTATAATTCTTATTTCCTGAGGGATTTGATATGTTCTGACTATTATTAGGAACTTGAGGTGCTTCGGGCTTAATCTGAGGACTTGGTGACCTGTCAACAGACATAGTAGGGGGTTTGGAGTCTTCAACAAAATACCTAAAAAAATCACAMGGATACGGCTCCGGATTTTGTTCAAACCGGTTAACTTTGGGTGTCGGTCTTCGTAGGACAAATGATGACAATACTGCTGTRTCAAATGGCGAAGAATATGTATTATCTTCATACTGGTTGTAAAAATTATTAACTAAATGTGGTGATCTAGAGGGACTTGGTTGTGCACCCTCAATGTTTTCTTTGTAAAAGCCGAAAGGTTCATCGAACTCACGATTTAAAGAATTAGTCCTTGAGATACTCCGCGAAAGCCTTGTTGGATCCATTGAAGACGACGGTGATGATAATAAATCAGATATTGATAGTTGAGTACCTCTAGATGGCATATCTGGATATGATGGGTAAGGTCGCAGTGATAAACTTGATTGGTCCGATATTGATTTTGACCCCGAATTTGAAGGACGTTCAGATGATAATGATGACGATGATCCAGAGATTGAAGGAAGTGGATAAGAGGATTTCGGTTGACGTGGTAAAGTTTTAACAGACAAATTTGGTGATACTGAAATGGACTCAGTAAATGACAATTGTGAGTCAATTCTTGGAGGATAAGGATATTTTGTCAATAGTTGTGACTGAGGTTGATTAGCCGATCCTCCTGCTGAAAAAGTCTTCAAAGACGTAGATGATGTGACCATTTCGGAAGTTACAGTTGCTGAAGGAATTATTCGGATTGACGACCTAGATGAAGACTGCATGCGCATCCATTTTGAAGTTTGAGGAGGCGGCGACGGTGAATGGTTTCCATGGTTTGTATTTTGAGATGACGTTGATTCTTCTATTTCCCTACTAGGAGAAGTAGATAATATCCGTAGTCCTTCAGTGCATACGGAAGCCGAAGTCAAAGTACGGCAACGTTGTCGTGTCAGCCCAGAATTTTCAACCGTACTCGGGAGAATATTTGGAAATGCAGATTCAACCAACGAGTAGTCTCCTATCAGTGGACGGCGTCTGTTGCATGGATACCGAAGTCGTACCTCAGTTTGCGGTATTCGAGAAAATGTCATACTACCACTCACAGCACCAACATTTCCACCTCCATATATGAGTACGGCATTGTCATCAGCACCACCAACATAGTACCTAATCAGATCGGGTACACTATCAAATCCCGGTTGACGCTGGTCGTTGTTGTTTACAACTGCAGTTGAARCAGCAGTAGGCATTGAGGGTAAAGTTTCTCCAAAACTGAATTGCGATCGTTCATATACTGTTCCTGGTTGCAGGATTATCTATAATTTTTTATCACATTAAAATATATATTAAGATTGAAACATTATATAATAATTTATTAATATGATCTTTAATCATTCCAAGGAATAAAATTTCAAATTTGTAAAATTGAATTCAGTAAGCCACGGCACTCTTGCCAGATAAGGAAAATGTTTACCATTAAAAATAATTTGCTTAAATTAATGTTAAGATCCTAAGCAAAATATCCAATTCCAAACTTTTACAACGATGTATTTTTTATTGTTTTATATTATTAAAAAAAAATGTATTTATAGAAAAAACTTATCAAAAAGTGTAACACTTAAATATTATACACAGCTAATTGAGACCTACGACATAAAGTACCTAGTTTTAATGAAATATTTTTATTTTTTAAATTTTAATCAAATATTTTAAACAACTCAATAAACTTTACAAACCAATTGTGTTTTAAATTTATGAAAAAAAAATTAGACGAAATAAATTCTTAGTCATTTTTAGATTGTGTACATTTTTTAGTATTATACTTGTTAGTTTTGTACCAGAATCAACACAAATATTAGAAAAAAAATGCATTACCAAAATAATAGATCAAGTATTACATGTGTCACTCACCTCATTCACGACAAAATGCAACACTGGATTTCGAAGCTGCCTTTGCTGTCTCCGTTGTTGTTGTCGGCGATTTTTACGTCGCTGCTCATCATGGCTGAGTTTAGATTTGTTTTTTTCCCCAGTTTCATTGTCTTCGTACTTGTCGACTCGCAGACACGATAAAACGTATCGGCCTGGTGGCCGGACATTCAGGCTGTCTCGAACTAAGAAACAGTAGAAGTGCCGTCGTGGTCGGTGTAGCCCTTTAGGTCTTTTTAGCAGCGCCGCATCCATTGCAGTTGACTTGAATACGGAAAGAGCCAGAGCTATGCCACGTTCGTCCATGAAGTCATTAATACCGAGATCCACATCACTACTGTCACTGCTAAGGTCTTCCACCCCATCCGAATCACTGGTTTCTTCGACACGCTGTTGTAGAGACGAAGAGCCTTTAGTGGCAGTAGCAGAAGCATCGCTCGGAGAAGAAATCGAAACCGTGTCATTCGCAGTTATTATAATATTAGTAGCTAAACCATACTCTTCAGCGACACATTGYCGTAAAAKCCGCTCAGCTTCAGCCCGGTCCACCTGATTACCATGGTACCAGGCATGCGACCGCAAGTCATCAGCTTCCAACGATGACAACTCCCATTCCAAGAGTTTTTTCAATTTTTCGGCTTCTACTTCAACAGTGGCTGAGTCGGCATTCAACGGTGATGATAAACGCTGTGATTGTGGTGGTTTATGTTGTTTTTTGT